AAAAAAAATCCTAAAAAAAACTCCCAAAAATCCCCCCCAAATTCCCAATAAATCCCCCCCAAAATCCCAAAAAATTCCTAATAAAACCCAAAAAAAATTCCCAAAAAATCCCCCAAAAATTCCCAAAAATTCCCAATAAATCCCCCCCAAAATCCCAAAAAATTCCTAATAAAACCCAAAGAAAAATCCAAAAAAATCCCCCCAAAATTCCCAAAAATTCCCAATAAATCCCCCCCAAAATCCAAAAAAATTCCTAAAAAACCCCCAAAAAATTCCCAAAAAATCCCCCCAAAATTCCCAATAAATCCCCCCCAAAATCCCAAAAAATTCCTAAAAAACCCCCAAAAAATTCCCAAAAAAACCCCAAAAAATTCCCCAAAAATTCCCCAACCCTCCAACTCCTCCCCAGACAAAATTCCCAGGAAAAACCCCCCGGGAATTTTTTCCATCCCGGAATTCCCACCTTCGTAGCAGAGCTGGATGCGGAGCAAGGTCCGGACGCAATCCAAGGAATCCGAGCGGATTTTGGGAATTCCGTCGGAACAACGCGGAGCCAACAGCGCCAGCAAGCGGCTCAGGTTGTAAAACGGGATCACAGCCTGCAAATCCCCAAAAAAAATGGGAAAAGGGTCAGAAATCCGGGAATTTTATAGGGAAAATCCCCCCCAAAGTCGGGGTAAATGTAAAAAAAATTTGGGGATTTTATTGGGAAAAAACACCCAAAAATCGGGATAAATGTAAAAAATCTGGGAATTTTATTGGGAAAAAAAACCCCAAAAATTGGGATAAATGTAAAAATATCTGGGAATTTTATGGGAAAAAAAACCAAAAAAATCCGGATAAATGTAAAAAAATCTGGGAATTTTATGGGAAAAAACCTCCAAAAAATCAGGATAAATGTAAAAAAATCTGGGAATTTTATGGGAAAAAACCCCCCAAAATTGGGATAAATGTAAAAAAAATTTGGGAATTTTATCGGGGAAAAAACCCCAAAAATTGGGATAAATGTAGAAATATCTGGGAATTTTATTGGGAAAAAAACCCAAAAAAATAGGGATAAACATAAAAAAAATTTGGGAATTTTAGAGGGAAAATCCCCCCCAAAATCAGGGTAAATGTAAAAAAAATTTGGGAATTTTATCGGAAAATAAACCCCCAAAAATTGGAATAAATATAAAAAATATCTGGGAATTTTATCGGGAAAGAAACCCCAAAAAATCAGGATAAACGTAAAAAAATCTGGGAATTTTATTGGGAAAAAAAAACCCAAAAATTGGGATAAATGTAAAAAAAATTTGGGAATTTTATTGGGAAAAAAACCCCAAAAAAATCGGGAGAAATGTAAAAAAAATCTGGGAATTTTATAGGGAAAAAACCCCAAAAAATCGGGATAAATGTAAAAAAATCTGGGAATTTTATTGGGAAAAAAACCACAAAAATTGGGATAAATATAAAAAAACTTTGGGAATTTTATCGGGAAAAAAAACCCCAAAAATTGGGATAAATGTAAAAAAATCTGGGAATTTTATTGGGAAAAAAACCCCCAAAATTGGGATAAATATAAAAAAAATTTGGGAATTTTATAGGGAAAATCCCCCCCAAAATCGGGGTAAATGTAAAAAAAATTTGGGAATTTTATCGGGAAAAAACACCCAAAAAATCGGGATAAATGTAAAAAAATCTGGGAATTTTATTGGGAAAAAACCCCCAAAAAATCGGGGTAAATGTAAAAAAAATTTGGGAATTTTAGAGGGAAAATCCCCCCCAAAATCGGGGTAAATGTAAAAAAAATTTGGGAATTTTATAGGGAAAAAACCCCCAAAAATTTGGATAAATGTAAAAAAATTTGGGAATTTTATTGGGAAAAAAACCCCCAAAAATTGGGATAAACGTAAAAAAATCTGGGAATTTTATTGGGAAAAAAACCCCAAAAATTGCGATAAATGTAAAAATATCTGGGAATTTTATTGGGAAAAAACCCCCCAAAATTGGGATAAATGTAAAAAAAATTTGGGAGTTTTATAGGGAAAATCCCCCTCAAAAATGGGGGTAAATATAAAAAAAATTTGGGAATTTTATTGGGAAAAAAACCCCCAAAAATTGGGATAAATATAAAAAAAATTTGGGAATTTTATTGGGAAAAAAACCCCAAAAAATCAGGATAAATGTAAAAAAAATCTGGGAATTTTATGGGAAAAAAACCCCCCAAAAATCAGGATAAATATAAAAAATCTGGGAATTTTATGGGAAAAATCCCCCAAAAATCAGGATAAATATAAAAAATCCGGGAATTTTATTGGAAAAATCAGGATAAATATAAAAAATCTGGGAATTTTATGGGAAAATCCCCCAAAAAATCAGGACAAATATCAAAAATCCGTGAATTTTATGGGAAAAATCGGGATAAATATCAAAAATCTGGGAATTTTATTGGGAAAAGCCCCAGAAAATCAGGATAAATATAAAAAATCCAGGAATTTTATGGGAAAAATCCCCCAAAAACTGGGATAAATGTAAAAAAATCTGGGAATTTTACTGGAAAAACTCCAAGAAAATCAGGATAAATAAAAAATATCCAGGAATTTTATTGGAAAAATCGGGATAAATATAAAAAATCTGGGAATTTTATTGGAAAAATCGGGATAAATATAAAAAATCTGGGAATTTTATAAGAAAAATCCCCCAAAAATCAGGATAAATATAAAAAATCTGGGAATTTCATGGGAAAAATCACTGAAAATTGGGATAAATATAAAAAAATCTGGGAATTTTATTGGAAAAATCCCCAAAAATTTGGATAAATATATAAAGTCCTGGAATTTTATGGGAAAAATCAGGATAAATGTAAAAAATCCGGGAATTTTCTGGGAAAAATCCCCAGAAAATTGGGATAAATATCAAAAATCTGGGAATTTTATGGGAAAAATTGGGATAAATATAAAAAATCTGGGGATTTTATGGGAAAAATCAGGATAAATATATAAAATCCGGGAATTTTATTGGAAAACCCCCAGAAAATTGGGATAAATATAAAAAATCTGGGAATTTTATGGGAAAATCCCCCCAAAAATTGGGATAAATATAAAAAATCTGGGAATTTTATTGGGTAAAATCCCCCCAAAATTGGGATAAATATAATAAAATCTGGGAATTTTACTGGAAAAACCCCAAGAAAATCGGGATAAATATAAAAAATATCCAGGAATTTTATTGGAAAAATCAGGATAAATATAAAAAATCCGGGAATTTTATGGGAAAAATCCCCCAAAAATCAGGATAAATATAAAAAGTCCTGGAATTTTATTGGAAAAATCGGGATAAATACCAAAAACCTGGGAATTTTCTGGGAAAAGCCCAGAAAATTGGGATAAATATCAAAAAATCTGGGAATTTTACTGGAAAAACCCCAAGAAAATCAGGATAAATATAAAAAATCTGGGAATTTTCTGGGAAAAGCCCCATAATATTGGGATAAATATAAAAAACCTGGGAATTTTCTGGGAAAAGGCCCGAAATCCGGGATAAATGGGGCTGAACTCACGTTGACGCGGAGATGGCGCAGGAAGAATCGCAGGAGGGAATTGCTGAGGGCGACGGCGCCTTCCCGCTCCGGAGCCCGCGGGGATCGGATCCAGGGCCCTAAATGCTGGGAATGAGCGAAAATCTGGGAATTCTGGGGGGAATCTGGGAATTCTGGGGGGAAATCTGGGAATTCTGAGGGGAAATCTGGGGAAATCTGGGAATTCTGAGGGAAATCTGGGAATTCTGGGGGGAAATCTGGGAATTCTGAGGGAAATCTGGGAATTCTGGGGGAAATCTGGGAATTCTGAGGGGAAATCTGGGAATTCTGGGGAAATCTGGGAAATCTGGGGAAATCTGGGAATTCTGAGGGGAATTCTGGGAATTGTGGGGGAAATCTGGGAATTCTGAGGGAAATCTGGGGGAAAACTGGGAATTCTGGGAATTCTGAGGGGAAATCTGGGAATTCTGAGGGGAATTCTGGGAATTCTGAGGGGGATTCTGGGGAAATCTGGGAATTCTGGGAATTCTGAGGGAAATCTGGGAATTCTGAGGGAAATCTGGGAATTCTGGGGGGAAATCTGGGAATTCTGAGGGGAAATCTGGGAATTCTGAGGGAAATCTGGGAATTCTGAGGGAATTCTGGGAATTCTGAGGGGAAATCTGGGAATTCTGGGGAAATCTGGGAATTCTGAGGGAAATCTGGGAATTGGGAGGGGAAAATCTGGGAATTCCTTCCCAGCTGGGCCCCAAAATTCAAAAAAAGTTCCCAAAAAATCCCCCAAAATTCCTCAAAAATCCCTCCCCAAATCCCCCAAAAATTCCCCAAAAATTCCCCCCAAAATTTCCCAAAATTGCCAAAAAATCATCCCAAAAACCAAAAAAAAATCCCCCCAGAAATTCCAAAAAAATTCCAAAAAAATTCCAAAAAAATCCCAAAAAATTCCCAAAAAATTCCCACCAAAAATCCCCCAAAAGTCCCCCATAAATTCTAAAAAATTTCTAAAAAAATCCCAAAAATTTCCCAGAAATTTCCAAAAAAATTCCCCCAAAATAAAAAAAAAAACCCTAAAAATTCCCCCCAAAATCCCCCAAAAATTCCAAAAAAATCCCCTCAAAAATCCCCTCAAAAATTCCCAAAAAATCCCCCCAAATTCCCCCAAAATCCCCAAAAAATCAAAAACATTCCAAAAAAATTCTCCAAAAATCCCAAAAATTCCCAAAAAAATCCCCCAAAATCCCAAAAAATCCCCAAAAATCCCAAAAATTTCCAAAAAAATCCCCCAAAAAATCCCACCAAAAAATTCCTTCAAAATTCCCCAAAAATCCCAAAAAATTCCAAAAAATTCCAAAAAAATCCCCCCAAAATCCCCCCAAAATTCAAAAAAATTCCCCAAAAAATTCCCAAAAAAATTCAAGAAAAATTCCCAAAAAAATAAAAAAAATCCCCCCAAAATTCCCAAAAAATTCCCAAATTCCCCCCAAAATTCCCAGAATTCCCGGAATTCCCGGGAAACTCACGGCAAAGATCTCCTGGAGTCCGTGGGGGTTCAGGCGCCTCCGGAGGAGCTCCTGGAGCAGCTCCAAGAGGGATCCCAGCGCTTCCCGCAGCAAATCCTGGGAAAAAAACCCCGGAATTCCGGCCAATCCCAAAAAAAACCCGGGAATTTTGGAGTTTTCCGGAATTTTGGGGGGAAATTCTGGAGTTTTGGAGGGAAATTCTGGATTTTTTGGGTGAAATTCCCCGATTTTTGAGTTGAAATTCCCAATTTTTTC